AATATCGTATCGTGCGTTAAGTATTGTGATAATATCGTATCTTGGGATGTATGGTGATTCCCACCTCTAGTATTCAGTGCTGTCATTTTCTGCTTACACACACACGCGGTTCATAACCCTGGGTTTAGTATATTCAGTACAAAACTGAAATGCCTGAATCCAAACATTAAACAAGAACCAACACGTCTTGGGAATCAAGTCAGCTTTCTTCACGGATGTCAAAGTGATTTTATTGATTATTTTCGACGCTACACTGCACTCGTGTGCGCTCGTCTCTCTTTTTAAATTGATTTTTTACCTTGAAGGATATCTCGTACTGCTCCCCTCCCCAAATCTCTAGACCGGTGTCGTATCCCCCGAGCTCCCAGAACCACTTCCTGTCGACAGCAAACAGTCCACCTGCCATCACTGGAGACCTAAAAGACACAAAGGCACAGTTGAGCATATATTGGAATACAACAGGAAGTATTAAAATGACTTCAAATCTTCCAGGCTGGCCACACATATAAAGTGCCAGGTTTGAACATCCCGTCACTTGCTAAATGCACACAGGATTAAATAAACAGAAAAGTGTTAGAGAATTCCGGCTCTATCCCACTCCAGAGCTGTGTTTTTCACATCCCCACGTGTGTGCGGCAACCCAGTGACACTCTTCACAGCACAAAACCAATTAACCCATCTGAACCAGTGAGAATACTGACTGGGATGACAAGCTCAGCAGTGCCAAACAACATAATAGTCCTCAGCTCAGAGTGCAGTGGGAGCTTCTCCCCGCAGCAAAAGTGAACGGAAAATATCGAACAGCTTCTCATCAGGACACCGACAACAACTGGAGGAAAACGGGAGGAGCAGGCGGGCAGAGAAAGAAAAGTTTTTATCCACGGGGAATATTCTGTATTGAACTATGAAATAATGCAAGACAGATGAGGACATAACCTCACAGAGAGCATTATAAATCCAAGAAAAGCCTCGTTTCCTTCTATTTCCTGAAACATTACAAGGCATTCGTGCCCAGAGTTATCATCTAGTGATACACTAGTGCTCGGAATTTCAGAGCTTTATTTTTATTTTAATCTAAATTGTAGCAGTATGGAAATTAATAGCAAAGGGCGTAAAAGGAAAATAAATTGGAGGAATACAGAATTAATTTTCCAATCGGTCTCATGTTGAAACACCACGTTTGTCTTTGTTGCAACCAAGGTGGATACTATTGGTAGTGAATTATGAGTCTAGAGCCGTTAGCATGGACGATATGATGGGCTTGGACCATAATCTCAGGTCCCATCAGTGATCAGAGAGATCGCTTGCCAACTTTGGCTTTTTTCCCCTTAAATGAATCATTAAATCAAAGAAATTTCACATGAAGTTAATCTGCCTCTTACCAGCAGCACTTTTCCATTTTTTTACCGTTAGTCCAAAGTATGTATTATGGTGGTAACGATGGATAGAAACCGTAATGCGTAACTGCTCCTTAACAACCAGCTTTGTGATCGTAGTGATAAAAACTAAAATGCAAACGAGACTGAGCCTAAATCGCACATTAAGCATCATAAAGGCCATAAAAACACGAGCTGAGGTCACTTCTCTTGTTTTCCCCTGCCTACGTTTGTTCTGATAAAGCGCGGCTTTCTGCAACAGTTTGAATAATTCTTTCACACAGGCATACTTGACCTGTCTGACCAGATAACTGTGCTTGTGCAGTTCATTGTCCATAACTGGTGACTGCTGCATGCTGGAGGAAACGAAGTGAAGCAAACACAAAGCTGCCACACAAACACAAACACAATCTGCTTCCCTGGAATAGCGCAGAATGAAATGCACCAGACAGACTTTCATCACAGGACAAAGGGTGAACAACAGTGGCTGCAGGGGCACAGAGAAACAGTGCTGCATGTCTGTGTGTGAGTGCTGATGGTGGGTATGGTCAGCAGACTGTGTGAGTTTAGCAAAGAGAGCGTAGACACTGCGTGGGCACTGATTTATGGGGTGGTGATTGTTAGCTCTTGTTCACCGGAGGGAGAAAACACAAACACTCTTCCCAGAGTTGTGTGGAAGGAAACCCAGCGGCTTTTGGGAATGAAAGCACTGACATCTCGCAAGCTAGTCAATATGAAGATCGCTTAACCACAAGTTAAAGTTTAATCTGGCAGGGTAA